TTAAAGACCTCAAGTTATCCGCCTAATCGTTCGCTAGGTATCTATCTTTATAAATTAATATGATTAATTTACTATTGCATAAATTAAAATATGTTGGGAATAGTGTCCTAGAAGCATGAGATGTAATAGGATATTTATTATTTAATTAATAAAAGAGTTTATTCATCATTTTATGTGCATATATTTATGAATATTTTATGAATATCAAATGAAAATTCCGTGATTGTTTATGTAACCTTAAACATAGTATATAAGTGTTATATACGAGAAGATAGTGTTTAAGGATAATAATCAAAAACATTGTTCATGATGAATTTAATTAAAGTTCAGAATCATTAATTAAAACATTATTAATACATGTCATTCCCATTTAGAATGGAACGGTGTTATCCGCACTGTTAATATGGTAAGATATTGAATGAGTGTATTTCGCATAATAAGATTATGTGGAACAAGGACACAGACACAATATGAATTTCTAATAATTTCCGTTAAGCATAGAAATTCTAATTGAGTCTACCGATGGTCATATATAGGATGATCTTAATCATGAGTTCTTAACAAACTCCTATTTATGGATTTATGTCTTTTGATTTACTCGGTATGGATTCTGAGACCCAGAATCCTATTCCTTGTATTTTGGAGACATAATGAAATAGGTAGCTGGGAATGTTATTGTACGAGATGAAATCCATTCATTCTTGAGAAAGAAGTAGATAAATAATTCTCTTGAGTGTTGATTCGGTACTTGGATTAGTAAGAGCGCTCTGGTTCATGAATGTGTTAAAAAAAATTCGTAGTTTAGAAGTAATTAATGTCTACAATTTCGAGAGTTCAATTCCAAGTTTATAGTAGAGTAACTATTGAAATTAATAGAATTAATTAATTAATTAAAGTGTTTAATTAATTATTAATTTTATTGGAGCTCGGGATTATAGGTCCATTAGTCCTTGCGTCGTCCTTGTAATTCTACCAGACACAAATGGCAAAATGAGAATTTTAGAATTACAGAATTCTAAAATTGAATACTCAAAAAATAATTAATTGAGAATTAATTATTATTTAAATAATATGATTATTTAAATTTGAATTTGAATTGTGAACATAATTTAAATTTATCCTTTTGAACTTATTTGATAAGTTGTTCAATTTAGAATTCAAATTAATTTAAGTTTGACTTAAATTTGAATTTGAATTTGAATTAAAATTGGACTACAGGATAAAGGATGATTTTTCTTCCTTCCCTATCTGCTGTTGGCGCCACACACAGGGTGAAACCCTAAGGGTGTGGCCGGCCACCTTATGGATAAGGGAATGGGATTTTTTGTTCCAAAAAATTCAAATTGGAGATAGGGATTTGATTCTATTTTGAAGTTTAACTTCTACTCTTTAGATATGAGAATGATAGAAAATTGTGGACACAATTTTTGAAATATTTTTTCTGCCCTAAATTGTTTGGTGGCCGAAATTCATAGAGGGAAAAAAGAAAGTAAATATTTTTCTCCAAAAATTCCACATCATGCATGCGTTGGTGTTTGTGGAAATTCAAGTGTTTTAAGAAACCTATTTTATCTCACATGTGCCCACACACACGTCTACGTGGAATCAAGGAATTGACGTGGAAGACTTTGGTATTCTAAACACAAACTTGGAGCAAGGACTGTTCGTGGTCGAAGAACTCAAGTTATCATCCGAGTCAGCTTTCAGGTATTTTTCCGGATTGAGTTCTTAATGTAAATTAATGCGATTAATTTATTCGTGCATAAATTAATATAATCTATAGAGTATCTCAAAAGTTTTTCTAAAATTTTTGTTATACACGATCCGCCTCCCCGCCACGCTTCCGCACCCGAATTTGATTCGGGAACCAACAATATATTCTATAGAGTATTCAAAAGTTTTATGAAAATTTTTATTGTACACAATCGCACATACACGCTTCCGTATCTGAAAAAGTTTTGAAAACCAATACATAGTCTAAAAAATATGATCCACAATCGAGGGAATAAAGTTGGACGCTTAGTTCATGTTAAGGTTGTTATGTTGTCTAGTTCCTAACAGAGATGGCTTGTCTTGTTCGTCAAAGGTGTGCCTCCATAGGTAGAGACATTGACATAATTCCTATTCGTGGAATCTATATTGGATCAGACCAAAGTTGAATTGTTTTAACTAATAATTCCATTTGAACAAAACAATTCACTTTTGACGAATTATATATGGTCATCTTAATTCTGAGATGAATAATAAACCTATATGTTTGACTTGTATCTTTTGATGTACCAAAGGGAGACATCTTGACATTATGTAAAGGTACGCCTACCAGTACGTTGGGGGTATAACTCTTGTGTGCATAGATTTATTATTCATAGATAGGGAATCCATAGCTCCTATAAAGAGTCAATGATATCCTCTTATGGCATTATCCGTGGATTAGAAAATATGAGTGCTCGACCATTAGACTACTTTGTGCTATCTAATGGTTTACTATTTATATTGGTACAAATAATGGATTTTCCGATGGAGTGGTAATGAAACATAAGATAAATATAATCGGGAAGGTAAAACGAAACTTGACCTTAAATCGATTATGGATATCCTATGGAGATGATACGCTAATATCATGAGTCATGGACGAGAGCTATTCGGAGCTTTATAAATATACTATATAGATCGCGAGTGCAGCTCCAGTGTTTTAGTGGAATAGCACTAGAGTTTGTAATTATGTGATGAACTTATAGGTTAACAAGTACTGTCGTGATTGTAAGAGCTCAATCTATATATGTCCATCGGGTCCCTTTGCTAGCTCATATAATTTCCTGCAACGATACGATATATTTCCTACATATTTGTAACTTATGTTATTTCTGTAAAAAGGTTCAAAAGTCATCGTGAAATCGGTAATTAATTCATGAGTAATTTATCGGGTGAATTAATTGTTAAATTAATTCTAAATAAATTTGGTGAATTATTGTTTTGAGTTTTATTTAATATGAGAAGAATATTATATGACTGTTTTGATTAGGTAACTTCTATATTGAGTTACATGAATTAAAACTGAGGCATTATGCAAGTTTCCCATATTGAATAACTTAAGAAACAAGCAATTTGGAATAGGGACCAGTCGATCGGTGTCGCGGGGCGATCGACCGGTATGTAACTTTTGGGTTATTCTGTGTCATTTACTAGTCAAGTGGTGAGTTTGTAAAGGCTCTATGACCAGCCGAACGGTTAGCAACATACTGACATGTCAAAACCGATTTAATGTGATTTTTGACACGAGTTAGACTTTGAGAAACTTAATTATTGTGGGAATATGACTTCCTAAACTCTATAAATAGCCCGGTAAGTCCCATTATTTAATATATCACTTAAGAGACTTTTTAGGGGCGATTGGTAAGCGTTCCTGACAGGAAAAACTAATCAAATCTTAAAATCAATTTTTTCTTTGGCTCTCTTGTGGTTGGAAGGAGTTCAAAAATACCAACAGAAGATTGAACAATGTGTGCCCACTCGCACTCTGATCATGAAAATGAGAATAAGAAAGATGACCAGTTAGTTAAGGCTCTTCCGGTTGTTGTTTAGAACTCTTTGATCTGTCAGATGTGATGTTTCCATAATCTCTGAAGGCATGATTTAGATCTTTGGTATTTATGTTATATAGAATCATGAACATGTTCTTGGTTGGCTTCGGCACTGATTAAAATTTTTAAAATTTCGTTGCGCACTCGATGTCATTTTCCAACACTTCCCTTCAACAAAGGAAGTCCAACGGTGTTGTATGATGATAATGCAGCCTGTATCCTAAACTCAAAGGAGGTTACATTAAAAGAGATAGAACGGAGCCTATTTCACCTAAATTCTTTTTCACGCATGAGCTTCAAATAGACGCAACGAATTCAGTCCAGCGACAACTTAGCAGATTTATTTACAAAGGCACTTCCTAGGACAACATTTGAGAACTTGGTGCACAAGATTGGCATGGGTCGACTCAGAGATCTTTGAAGAAGACGTGTCGACATGAGGGGGAGACTTTTGCGTGTTGTACTCTTTTTTTCCTTAACCTACGTTTTGTCCCCTTGGGTTTTCTTGACAAAGTTTTTAATGAGGTAGTTATAAAGAGCAAATCCTACAAAATAATATACTCCTTTCTTTTTCCAAGGGATTTTAGTAAGGTTTTTAACGAATCATATTCTTAATATGTGGACATCTAAAGGGAGTGTTATAAATCAAATGCATTGGATGCCACCTCTCTTAGTATTCCATAAATTTCATATTAAACCCCTCATTAGATCCTATATCCCCCATTATATCTCTCTTAATATTGTGTATTATTTATTACTCTATTATTCCCTCTTAATTTTGTATGTAATTTGTGTCTTTTCCTATGGTCTCTAGTTATGATTCCTAGCTTATAAATAGAGGTTGTATTATTAGCTTGTAATATCATCCGTAACAAGTTATAAGAAAGAATACTAGAAGTTTCTTTGTCTCTCATATTTCTCTTGTACACTTTTTATTTTTATATTTTTGGTTAGTTTCTTGTCTTTTATAGTTTTTTTTTACTAAGTTTTCTCTACGATGAGACCCCTTAAATAATTTACTAGTGGAGCATCTTGTTTTGACTGTTGAATTACTTTTTTAACAGTCAAATATGTAAAGAAACAGTTATGTGCAGCGCGCTATAAACTTTTAATACGAATTTATATCAATCTAACTGTTAAAAACTTACTCTAACGTTTAAAATATGGTGTTCTAGTAGTGGATATTTTTAAAGAGTCTCAGTATTATTACATAATACAGAAAGAATTTATTTCCCATTTTTGAAGAGAGAATAAAAAATAAAAATAGTAGCCAGTAAAAAATAAAAATAAAAAACAACAATTACATTAAAAAACGCACCACGTACCAAAGACAATAAGACAGAAGTAAAATATATAAAGTAAAAAGACCAGAGGAAACAAATTAAAAATAAAATAAAAATAAAATGAGAGAGGGGCATTTCTTAAACCCTCGATGGGTTTTTCGCAGAGGCTCATGTTTAAAGAGATGCAGCGATGCATAAACAACGTGGGGAACTAAGAAGCCAAGGAAGACGAATATCTACTTCTTTATCACCATGATCATACGAACAACCTCCAAATTAGGTCTGTGTTTTGACGAGTGATTGATTTACCACATTTCTTTTTCTCTTTAAAATTGATGTGCTGAATTTCTGTTCAATTTAATTTAATGTTGAATGTGGTTGTAAACAGTGTGTTATAGTGGGAGAAGTGGGAAATCATACGCCGTTGCTGCTTTGGCCGCGAGTGCGAATAAGAGCGAGAATGAGAGTGCTAATAAAGCTAATGGTAGTGAGGCTCCCAAAATCAAAGCGAAGAAGATTTCGAGAGCCCAACGCCGAGATATGGTCGAAGCCTTTGTCCTCAAGTACGATTCCTTTTCTTCTATGTTAGTTTCTTTAGTGTTTAGAGAGAAAAATGGAAACCCAAAATACTCTTAATAGGGTTGGCACTGGACAACTTAGTGAGAGGGATGCTTATTGTTACTGACATTCAACTTAGGACTACTTTTCTTTTTCTTTTTTTAAATATAAAAATAAAATAAAAAGAGTGAAATTTGGTTGGGGCCAAAATGCAAATACGGTATTTTAGGTCTCGTTCGTTCAGTTCGCCGATTCGAGTTGATGTGAGTGCTTTTAACTGTAGCAAAAAAGTTAAATGTGACTTTTTGTGAGAGCTTTTAACTGTAGCAAAACTGGAATTGAAAACTTGAATCGGTGAAATGAACGAGATCTTAATAGGGTAAAATGAAGGCATGTACATTTCACTAATTCGAATTATAACTCAAGTTTTCGCTACAGTGTTTTCTCTTACAAAAATTTAAATTTAACTTTTTTTGTTACAGTATTTTCTACCACATGAATTTACTTTTTAACTCAAGAGAACTTAACGAGCAAAACGAATTAGGCCAAAAAAATACAAATTTCTAAAGCTATTAAAGTCAGTGGGGCTGGCTGCCCCTACTGGCACCACTGCTTGTGACCATGATAAATTGAACTCGAACCGAAAAAACAAAAGGAAAGTAAATGAACGAATGAAGGGAAATGAAAGGCATGTAGTGTTAGTTTATCAATTCTCATGAAAGCTTATTTTTGACGAGGTGGAGTCAAAAATAGTTTTATGTTTTTCACACTCATGGACGGAACAATAGACAATCGTGTGGATAAATATTAATTAGAACATCCTACACTTCCAATATTTAATTTGAATCCCAAAACATGTTGAAGGCCCAACACGTGATTACAGTTTTGGAGAGTGCAATTACGAGAGTTTCAACGCTTCTTACACCATGTTAGTGATAGTGTTTGTGTGTGTCTGTTTATTTGTCTTGGGTAGATAAAGAAAAGATATGTTAATTGGATAATCATTGACAATAGATCTTTTTGGTTGAGGGGCTTCTTATAACATGATAGGTTCATCTGTCCCAAGAGCATTGAGGAAATCAAGAATTTGCTTAAAGTGTTTCAAATCTAATTTCCTTTCTATTGTTAGAATTGAGGAATAGAGATTTAAATAAGTCATTTATGCAGAATGTCTTTGTGCCAAACCATTTCAAATTAGATCAAGGACTAGGTAATTGAGGGATTAGGGCATGAGTGTTCTTTTTAGGTACTATTGGAAAAGGAAACAGAATCCAGGGAGATGCTAGGGTAGGGATTCCCTTGATTACACTAATCATGTGGAATTTGCTGAGCTTGATTCGTAATTGTGTTGGTAAATTCTGCTGGTAAATGTGCCAATGGAGGGAAGGACAATCACCGTACTATTTCTTTCGACCTTTTCTCATTCTTGATAAGTTAATAAGCCATTAACTCCAGAATTAATGTTGTGAAGTACTTTGTTGTCTAGGTTGCTATTGATTCCACCTGCAATTTGTTATTTTCGTGGGTAAGATACGGTAGTTTTGAGTAATTGCTTCAACAATTGGTTTTGCCAGATTCTTGCAGTTGGTTTTGCTTCCCTGTTTCAAATGCTCCTCCTTTTTTTGAATTGAAATGATTTTTTAATGATCGAAGAATATTAGCAATTTTTAAGGATATTCTACTAGAGTTTATAAAATTTACATGTTATAACTCCTGAGATAGCATTCATGTAAGAAGCAAAAATTCAAGATTATTTTCATGTGAATGGTGGATCATGTCATGAGCTTCTAATGGCTTTTAATTTTTTGTTCTTGTTATTTTTATTTCATTTCTACTGTGAGCGGGTACAAGTGGAGATATTTGTTGTTACTTTTTTGCAGGTACAAGGCGATGAATGATGGAAAGTTACCTTATGCTAGCAATGTTGCGAAGGAAGTTGGTGGTTCTTACTATGTTGTTAAGCAAATATTTCAGGAACTGAAATCCCAGTTTAAAACATCTTCCATTAACAATGCAAATCAAAATAAAATAGGAAAAAAGGAAATTAATGGAGCTGGACAATTGTCTAACGCCGGAGAAATCTTAACAAGTAGAATACCAGAGAATTCTAGTGTTCAAAATGATATTCAGATTGTGGTTAGCAATTATGTGGAGAACAATGATGCTAGTCGAAAGCATACAGAAGCAGAAATAGGTTTTAAGTACTCCTCTTCAAGCGAAAAGGTCTCTTCCAAAAAGGTTGCAACTGTAGTATCCACTTAATATTACAAAATGTTTATGTTTATATTGTAAAGTTTCGTTTATTATAAAAAGAAACATTACAAAATGTGAAGGTTTCAGGGCAGAAAAGAATATTCTTTATTGATCAATTTCTATACAAGAAGTTACAATATTTATAGGAGAAAACCCTATGGGAATCAGGAAATAAAATCCCACGGAAAGAGGGATTAGATGAGATCCTTATCTCAAGAGATCTCCTTTAAAAACTGAAAGTATAACCTACTTTCTTATCTTATCTCTAAGCCCCTATCAACCAGATTATTCCTATTTTCTACACTCCCCCTCAAGTTGGTGCATAGATATCTATCATGCCCAACTTGCTAATGAGAAACTCAAAGTTTGATCTAAATAATCCTTTAGTAAGAACATCAGCTACTTGTTGTGAGGTTGGAACAAATGGCAAGCAGATGGCACCAGCTTCAATCTTCTCTTTTATAAAATGTCGATCAATCTCAACATGTTTAGTTCTATCATGTTGGACTGGATTGTGGGCGATGCTGATTGTTGCTTTGTTGTCACAGAACAGTTTCATAGGCATAGTCATAGGTCTTCTCAGTTCTTCCAAAATCCGTTTAAGCCATATTATCTCACAGATCCCTTGTGCCATTGATCTGTATTCTGCTTCTGCACTGCTTCGAGCCACTACGTTTTGTTTCTTGCTCCTCCAAGTAACTAGGTTTCCCCATACAAATGTGCAGTAGCCAGATGGAGACCTTCTATCTGACGTAGATCCCGCCCAATCTGCATCTGTGTAAGCTTCAATACCTCGTCGTTCATTCTTCTCAAAGAACAGTCCTTTTCCTGGTGAACTCTTCAAGTACCTCAGGATACGGTAGGCTGCTTCTAGATATTCTTCATGGGGAGAATGCATGAACTAGCTCACTAGGCTGACAGCGAATGCTATATCTGGTCGAGTATGTGATAAGTAGATTAGCTTCCCGACTAGTCTTTGGTATTGAGTTGTATCCACCTGTCTTCCTTCTTTGTTTCCAAACTTCTGATTTGGATCAACTGGTGTTTCTGCAGGGCGACATCCACTCATCCCGGTCTCTTTAAGAAGATCAATCACATACTTCCTTTGTGAAATTGCAACTCCCTTTCTTGACCTGGCTACTTCCATACCAAGGAAGTATTTTAGTGAGCCTAGGTCCTTAATCTCAAATTCGGAAGCCAGACTTTGCTTTAGACGATTCATCTCAACAGTATCAACCCCAGTAAGGATGATGTCATCCATATACACTATAAGAATAGCTACTTTCCCATTGGAGTGTCTTGTGAACATCGTGTGATCTGCTTGCCCCTGGTCATATCCCTGTCTTCTCACAAATTGAGTGAATCTCTCGAACTAAGCTCTTGGGGATTGTTTTAGACCATACAGAGACTTTTTTAGCTTGCATACCCGGGTTCCATATTTTTCTTCAAATCCTGGAGGTGGATCCATGTAGACTTCTTCATCCAAATCGCCATTAAGGAACGCATTCTTCACATCTAGTTGCTGTAGTGGCCAATCTAAGTTGGCTGTAAGTGATAGGAGTACCCTGATAGTATTGAGCTTTGCCACTGGTGCAAAGGTTTCAAGGTAGTCAATCCCATATGTTTGAGTGAACCCTTTTGCTACTAGGCGAGCCTTGTATCTTTCCAGAGATCCATCTGACCTGTATTTTGTTGTGAACACCCATTTACAGCCAACAGTCTTCTTCCCCTTCGGCAATTCTATCACTTCCCAAGTTCCATTCTTTTCAAGGGCTTTCATTTCCTCGAGAACAGCTTCCTTCCATTCAGGAACCTTTAGAGCATCCTGCACATTCTTTGGGGTTTCCACACTAGACAATTGTGAGGTAAAGGCAGAGAAACAGGTGACAGATTTTTGTAGGACACAAAGTTTGACATGGGATATTTTGCACAACTTCGGACCCCTTTGCGCTTAGCAATAGGAAGGTCAGCCTCAGGTATATAGGGCTCGGATTCAAGATTGGGTAGGTTGGTGTGAATAGATATAGTGTGAGGAATACCTGATTCGGGAATATTCTGTGGTGTAGGATCCGGACTGATCTGTGGTTCAGGCTTTTGGCAGTGTTGGCTAGTTTCAGTCTCTATTCCTTGCTTCCGGTTCTTCCTCCTGTAAACCAGCAGTTTTTGTGTTCCTGTTTGTTCCCTATTTTCATCTTTATTATGTTATGAGATGACTCTATAGACTCAGGATTCAAATTTTCATTACTCACATCACCTAACTCTGTATTTATTAGGAAGTTTGGGCTTCTTGCAGTTTCAATTTCAGTTTCTATTTCAAAGTTCGAATCTTCCCTTAAGCTCTCCCCCTGAAGATGAGTACCAAAAAATGGTTGAGACTCAAAGAAGGTAACATCCATTGTGACAAACATTTTTTTTGAGCTCACGTCATAGCACTTATATCCTCTTTAGTTCGGAGCATAGCCTACAAATATGCACTTTCTAGCGCGAGGATCTAACCTTCCCCTATTTTGGTTGTGAATATGGACAAATGCACTACACCCAAACACTCTCAAAGGTAAATATGTAGTCAACTTAGAGACAGGGAAAGTGTTCTTGAAGACACTTAGGGGTGTTTTATAATCTAAAACTTTGGTAGGCATGCGGTTTATGAGGTATGTGGCAGCTAGGAGCCTCTCGCCAAAGGTACTTAGGAACACCATTAGTAAACAATAATGCTCTCGTGACTTCTAGGAGGTGTTTATTTTTTCTTTCTGCTATGCCATTCTGTTGGGGTGTATTTGAACACGAACTTTGATGTATTATGCCCTTGTCTGAAAAATATCCTCCCAATATTTCATTAAAATATTCTCTGCCATTATCACTCCTAAACACTTTTATTTCTCTTGAAATTGTGTTTCAATCATTGTATAGAATACCTGAAATATCTCTTTTACTTCAGACTTGTCTCTTAATAAATATACCTAAGTGAGTCGTGTGTGATCATCTATAAAGCTAACAGACCATTTTTTTTCATACATTGTTGAGGCTCGAGATGGCCCCCAAACATCACTATAAATTAATAAAAACGGTTTTGTTGCTTGATATGGTCTAGCGGGAAAGGAAGAACGATGATGCTTAGCTAGTTCACAAATCTCACATTTAAAAGAAGATGGACTTTTATTTCTAAATAAATCAGGTAACAAATGTTTTAAGTAATAAAAACTAGGATGCCCTAATCTATAATGCCAAATCATAACATTATTAGAAACGGAAATAGAGTTGAAACAAGAGTTTGTAACTAGGTGTCCTAATTCGGTTCCATCTTCAAGGAAATAGAGACCTCCACTTTCTCTAGCACTGCCAATCGTCCTCCCCGAGACCATGTCCTGAAACTCACACCGAGAAGAGTAAAAAATAACACGACAATTAAGAAAACTTGTTATCTGACTGACAGACACAAGATTGCAAGAGAGTTTTGGAACATGGAGTACATCATGCAAAGTTATATAATTGGAAATTTTGACAGTCCCTGTTCCAGCAATTGCGGAGAGGGAACCATCAACAATTCTAATCTTCCTATTCCCTGCACATGGAGTATAAGTTGAAAAAAAATGGGAGCAACCTGTCATGTGATCAGTGGCTCCTGAATCTATGATCCAGGAGCTGTTTTGTTTGGGATTAACACTGAGGAAGGCTGAGGCGAGACTACCTGTTTTGACAAAAGAACATGAAGGGGTTGATTGGTTTACTCGAAAGTGTGAAGACTGAAAAAGTTTGTGCAGTTGCTCTAATTGTTCCTTTGTGAAAGACAACCCTTCAGAAGTACCTTGCTGCCCCTGATCTTCACTGGTTGCTTGAGCCGAGAAGCCCCTGGAATTAGCACTCTTTTTCTTCCAGTTCTGCGGTTTTCCGTGGATCTTCCAGCAATTTTCCCTCGTATGCCAATGTTTTTTGCAGTGGTCACACCAAGGCTTCTTCTTCCTGTCATTATCTGAGTCATTCCTCATTGACACAAGGGCAGAATTATCAGTCACAGCAGCCACTGGTTTGTCATTCTCCTCGGTCTTCATCATAACTTTCCTCCTAGTCTCCTCTCTTCTAATTTCAGAAAACGCCTCTCGAAGAGTTGGTAGGGGATTTTTCCCAAGAATCCTATACCTAATCTCATCATAGACTCGGTCCAAACTAGCCAAAAAAAGGTACACCCGATCACTTTCTTCTTTTTTCATAAATCTAACGCTATCCATCGGGCAATCCCACTCATCATTATAGCATTGATCTAATTCTTGCCATAGAGACACCATCTCATTATAATAAATGGTAACCTCACGCTCACCTTGTTTGGATTTCCACAACTTGGTTTTAATTCAAAAATTTGTGAGGAATTTTCAAGATCGGAATAGGTTTCTCTCACCGCATCCCATATGTCTTTTGCAGTGGGAAGGAAAAGATAGGGCTTACCTATAGTTGGTTCCATAGAGTTAATGAACCATGCAGTAACTAACGAATTTTCTGACCTCCATGCCCTTAGTTTCGGATCCCCATCTCCAGGCTTCTTCACTTCTCCATTCAAATGACCGAGTTTTCCTCTTCCATCAATGGCCAACTTCACCGATTGTGCTCATTCTAGGTAGTTCTTCCCGTTCAGTTTGTGGAGAGTCAATTGGAACGAAAATTGAGTCGAGTCTCCTCCTTGTGCCATGGGGGTTCGATCTGGTTCACCACGATTAGAATCTCCTGCCCTAGAGGATGCCGGGGATCTGCCTTCTTTTGTGATGGCCGTTTCAGCCATGGGTTAAGAAGGTATTTTTCGGCTCTGATACCATGAAAGCTTCAGGGCAGAAAAGAATATTCTTTATTGATCAATTTCTATACAAGAAGTTACAATATTTATAGGAGAAAACCCTATGGGAATCAGGAAATAAAATCCCACGGAAAGAGGGATTAGATGAGATCCTTATCTCAAGAGATCTCCTTTAAAAACTGAAAGTATAACCTACTTTCCTATCTTATCTCTAAGCCCCTATTAACCAGATTATTCCTATTTTCTACAAAATGTTTATATTATTATTATCTGTTTCTTTTCTTCTAATAATTCTGGTTGTGATAAATCTGTTAAAATCAATAATCCATGTTTAGATCTGGCAGATGCAATTTGCCGGTGTCTTGATCTAAAGAAGCTGGGAGATTGGGAATTAAATCATTTCTATTGATCATTGTTTTGTGTCTCAAGCGTAATGCACAGTGAATGCTTTTTGTAGTCATTATCATACAATTGGATTGTTTGGTCAAAACTTGGATAGTAAAAATGTTATAAATAGAATTTAAATATAGGCGTAATAGTATGCGCATAAGTAGAATTATTATATAGGTGTAATGATGCTATACCTTCACACATAGAATGTTGAAGTTTAATATTTGTCGCACTCATTGTACTAGATTTTAATACACAATGCATATATAAAGACCAACCATAATCACAATCTGTAAAGCAGTTATGCAAAATACGCCCTCAATACATGTTTATCGACATTCATCTGTGTTCGGTTTTTGGGTTTCTCTATCCCTATATTTATGTGCTTTTACCTTGTATATTTGTAGATTTACATGTCTAAACTCTTATGCCTTAAAGTCTCAATGCTTTTCATTACAGGATTGTTATTCAGAATTTTCCGGAGAACAAAGTAATCTTCTGAAAAGGGATGCTGAAAACGCTTTTCATTCAAGTCATGAGAAACTGGACAGAACGGAAGCTAAGGACAATTCTTCTGATTTTATTGAAACGCCAAGTAGTCTACTGAGAGAAGAGTTTGAGAACGTTTCTCGCCCATCTCATTTAAACTCTCAAAATGGTACACAGAAGGAAGCTTCGGAGTATGATGATATTCCTGTTTCTGCTACCAAAGAAAATAAGTTGCATATGGTGGACAGTGAGAGAGTTTCCCATCCAGGCCTTGAAAATGCGGAGAATAGTAAAAAACAGAAATCTCTATCAGAAGAACTGCGAGATACAGATGGTTTAAAGGATGAAACAGAACATCATGAAGGGACCCCTAAACGTAAACCTGTAGGGTAAGTTTTTCTACTTGTTGATCTTGCTTTTACCGTCATTGTCCCAATTACTTTTCTTCTTCTTTTATTTATTTATTTATTTATTTTATTTATTTACTTTTTGCTCAAGCAGTTACTTTTCTTGTTATTCAATGAGTATCTTGCCAAAAAAAAAAAAAAAAAGGAAAGAAAGAAAGAAAACTGAAAAGGATGCTGTCGATTAGATTCTTTCAGCGATTGTTGTTGTGGTGTTGCCTATGGATCTCCCTTAGTTGTATTCCACAACAGAAAGAAATGTATAGAATAACATGTCAAATAGGCTAACTATTCTTAGAAGTTAATGAATTTTCAGCAGAAAATGGCTGTCTAGAACATCAACTAAGTGGGTTTGAACGTTCAATGCTGAAAATAGGACATGGCGTCCTGCAATCTAATCCTAAATACCTATTGAATAAACTATCTTCACCATCTTTTTATGTTTGACTGCATTTCTATTTTTTATTTCCATTTGCCCCCAATGTTTGATAAAAACTGCTTTGCAAAGAAGGAATGCCGTAAAATGCCGATCAAGATGCATTATTTTTTCTACACTTCAAAATTTTTTCACTGTTGATTTTTATCAATAGTACCCGTAGGGCCTTCTCACATTTCCGGTATATATGTCTTGCTTGTAAGTTGAAAGGGGCTAGTTTAGCAGTCAGGCCTATGTTTTGCTCCCACATGGTCTAGGGCTCAATTGGTCACGCCTACCAACCTGGTGATACTGATTATGGAATAACCATGATTTTCGTGCTTTCTGAAGATTGTGGGGTTCGGCATGGCTCCAATTTATAACTAAGCTCTAGAAAGCAGGTTTGGGGAAAAAATAGTTAAATTGACTAACAAAATGCATGTCTTTTTAAATAAATAAAAAAAATGGGCTAGTGCTCGGTTGTGGAGCGCTTCATAGCAAAGAGTGATTTCAAACTGTTTTTCCAGAGAAAAATCACTGAGATGCCTTATCCCCTTCAAGCATAATATACCACTAAAGGAGATGGCTACTCAACTTGCGTATTGGACATTGACCTCTTTGGCCAGCAAGCTTGAGTTCACTTTAGTTTTTTTCTTTACGTTAGGACCACCGAGAAACTTTGATTAGCACTCATTGATCTCTGTTCTTTCTTCAATATCTGTTTATGTTGACTATCTTGTAGCGTGTGGAAGTTGCACTTTGTTTTCATATACCACTAAAGGAGATGGCTTTGATTTAGTGTTCTACCAACTGCGCAGTGTTAATTGTCATTGACATGCAAGCCATGTTAATATAAATGTTCTTGTCCCCATTTGATTGCATTTTTCATGGTCATATTTAATCTTACAGTTGAAACCTTTATGGGTATATCCAATCTGTAATTTCTAATCTGGCTTCTTATTTTCTAGATGGACTTGTAAACCGAGTTTTCACTTTGACCCCATTTGATGAATCATATTTCTATTTACTTGGACCTCAAATTCATCCATTTTCACCTATCACTTAGCTCTAAATCTAATATTTATTTTCCGTTGTTCAGGGATACATCTCATCGGCAAACTAGTGAAGCAGAACTTCCAAAAAAATCAACTCTGTGGGGTACTCTAAAGTCATTTGCTGATGGAATCATCAACATTTGGAGAAAATCATAAATATTTGTCAAGTTAATTTGCAAAGTTTTGTGCAACTCTGATGCACTGCGAGGACATTGACAACATATCAGGTTAACATGTGTTGCTTTTGCTTTTTAAGCTAAACGCATTATCATCAATCCTCTCAAGTTGATATGTTTACCATTTGTTTGCCAGATGCGTGCTTTGAAGGTTTCAGAGTGCAGCTCAGTCGTTTGCTCAATGAAATCGAAATTTGAGTCTCTTCCATTTAGTTAGTCTTGTTGATCATGTGTAAAGGGGAGTTCATTTTGATGATTTTTAGACAAGATTAGAACTTAGAAATAATATATAATGCCCGTATGAATTATGATCCTTATCGCTGCAAACCATTCAGGCTCCTCCCATGGCAGGAATTTAAAACTACTTATGACAAGAATAGTACTGATCAGGATCATTTTTTGCATACCTAGGATCAAAACTCAATGTGCGATTTCCAGCATAAACTTGATGATTATCAATGTGAAAAATAATGCAGAACTAAGGCTGAATGTTATTGGTAGATTTGGCTGATGATAGAAGCGTTATCTAAAAAATATAAGAATCTCCATTCCTTAGTGACGAGCTGAACAAAACGATGATAGTATAGTTAAGTCAGAGAATCTCATTATCGAATTAAAGCATCTCTGATACAGTGTTAAATTTGCGCGTCAATGAAAAGTTTTGATATTTGGATAAGAAAAACACTAATGTAGTAATTTTGATATTTTGATATTAAATTTGACATTAAATGTAGCATATTTTAAATTTCATTTGTTTGTTATTAGTTGATATGCTCATTTTTTTTATGATTACTATGTTGTAATTTTTTAATTTTTTATTATTAAAAATTTATTTTGCGTAATACATTTGGCGATTAACCATATAGTACATTGTAATGTATACGCATTCCATTTAAGGGTAATAATAATAATAAATAAGATATTAATTTGCTAGCCGAAAACAATCATGTATGTTTCAGTCAAAAAAAAAAAAAAAACAATAATGTATACTGCATTACGTGTGTTATTTTTAATTTAGGTAACATATTGTTCCTTATTGGATTCGACCAAAATAAACTTGTATAGTATTAAACAAGAGGATAGTAAATGAGGCATAACCGGGATTATTTTACGAAGCAAGCGATAAAGAACGAAAAAAAAGTATTGCAAAAAATAACCTCGAATCATATTATTTTTTATGAGATATTTAAGCAATATGTCATTCAGTATCTTTAAATTTTGTGAGATTTGTGATTTTTTATGTATATATTTGTGATTTTTAAAGATTTTACGATGTTTAAATATCTTTAATTGTGACATTCTATGTAATAATTTATGTTTATTAGCATATGTAAATCGAAGCTTAAAATGTAACGACCCAGCTCTCCTGAGCCGTTACTTAACGTTAAACTTAAACTTTAAATCCTTTTTAACTCTTTAAAGGCAAACCAAGATACTCCAAATTTAGGGATATTTTTTTAAACTAATTTATATATCGCTTTTCTTTACTTTCCATTTAGCCAAGCAAGTGGAAATAACATTTAGTCTCAAACATTGTAATCGCACTAAGGTTCGAATCTAATATATTTTAATAACACATTTTAGTTTCTAAGTACTTGGAATTTAAAACACACATATAAATAAGCATCGCAAATAAAGTTTGCATGTAGATACTTTTTAAACCATAAATTTCAACATGTCTAATTCTCAAAATCAAAATATAAATTGCAGAATAGTTTTGCACGGTAGTATCCAGTCCCAAACCTCCGCAAACCTCTGCCTTACACGTCCACCGCCAAGTCCATCAATAGGTTGTAGGCCTTTTTTCTACAACATGAACAAACTGGATAAGTTAAAGCTCATCGAGTACAAATATCCTCACAAAAGATTTGCACACAATATCACAGATATAGATGCATGACTTTTTATGCTCAATTATGGAATATATTTTATTCTAGAGGTCTTGTGCTCATACCGGTTTGCGCGCGACCAATGAGGTACTAAGGAGCTACCCAAACATTTCGTCTAATAACACCCAAGGTCTAATTAATTATTAAATATTATTTCCCACGTGGAGTTGGTATCACCCCTCTCTAGTTCTCATTACTTTGCTTCAATTTAAAGTGAACATGCAATTATGATCATGTCACGTAAGTATAATTAATACAATTTAACTATAGAGGCAATATAACATAATACTCAATATTTAAGTCACAAAGGCGTAAAATACTTTATAAGACATACTTTACTTAATATTCAACAATCACATCACACAGAATTGCATCATGTAAACAAACAATTTCTCAAGCAAATATGTGTGTGTTCTAAAACTATTAATGTTGTAGGTACCTCACTTAGCGATCGCAATTAGCGTTTCCCTACAGTAAGTTGGGTTCTCAACTGCGTTCTTAAAACTGCTCTAAACGTTGCAAGTCTGTGATCAAGGTGTACCGACAAATCAATGTTAGTTCATTTTCAAATTCTAATTTAGTTCACTTAAGTTTTACCAATTATGTCTTACAGACATTTAAAGATTAATTTACTTAATTACTTTCCCTTTTCTAAGTTTACAATACTCCCTAATTAATCTTTCTAATTAATTAGTCAGTTTATCTCACGCTTAATTATTTACCAAAAGGTTAATAATTCTTGTTACTCAAATCATTTCATTTATTGGCTTTAATTAATTAATTAATCATATAGAATTAATTAATTAATTAATTACTTCATTTAATTAAATTTTCTTAATTAATTTATTTAGAGATCTCAGAATTAACTTAATTTATTTTTGTGGACATTCAACTTCTAATGTCGTACTTAGTCAGCCTTTCGACTTATTTAGTCTTATGCCTCAACTTAGGGCCCGTTTAGTTCGCTGATTCGAATTTTTAATTCGAGTTGAGATGTGACTTTATGTGAGAGCTTTTTACTGTAGCAAAAAACTTAGATGTGATTGTTTGTGAGAGCTTTTTACTGTAGAAAAACTCGAATGCTAAACTCGAATCAGCGAAATGAACGGGGCCTTATTTAGTCTTATGCCTCAACTCCTTAATCTTCTAAGGATCAGGTTACTTATTCTACGTTTCAGGTGTTAACTTTGTTACCAAAAAGATTACCGTCGGTAAACCTAAGGATCCATCTATCCTCAACTTGGGTTCTTGGGCTCATTAAGTTTTTTTATCTTAATGGTTTATGCTAGGGTCACCTCTGGTCCTTTAAGACATTTTGGGTGAGTTGGAGTTTTCCGACTCCAGTTGACGATTTTACCCTCAAGGGAAAAATTCCCGTTTTACCCCTAACGGTTTCGACATTTCCAAGTTCGCAAACTTAAGGAGTTTGTTATCCTAAACGTTCTGCCTTTAACGACCGTGAGCCAAAATTTATGCTCAAGGTCCGTTTTGACTATTTTACCCTTAGTGGTCAAAATGACCATTTTTCCCTAACGACTTTCTAAATAACCAACGGGTTTCGCTCTTGGCTAACTAGGCCCTTTACTGCCTAAATAAGGTGCTGAAATTCTATTTACAGGTTGACCTTTAACTTTTCTTGAATACAATTCTACCCCTAATGTTGGATGTTTTGATGTTTTGACGTTTTTACCCCGGGTCGTTTTTTATGTTTTCTACCAATAGATTCATCTTAGGACAAGGATCAAAAGTCTCAACTTTACCTAAGGCTGGTTCTAGCTAAAAAAACCATTTTACCCTAGGTCAAAGTTTGGTCAATTTAATTTCCGGACGCGATAAATAACTTTTTATCGGTGTGGAATCTAGAAAAACTCCGAACTATGACTTTTCTCTACTCATCTAGAAAAACTCCGAACTTAAGGGCATGTTCGTCCACGTTTTGTTTTTGAAAGTTTTCGGCTCTTTAGCAAACTTTCCAGATCTTAATAAATCACATATAAGCAGTCTAAAGGTTGCCATACTAACCATTTTTCATGCCAAACTTTATATCTCATGCCATACTAGTTTAAAGTTCAAGTTTTTACAAGACTATTACTAGTCTACGAAGTTAGTATTTTTCACTTTATTTTCATGTTTCCAACACTTTAAAACCAGATCTAAAGCCCGTAAACACAGCCATCTCAAAATCATAATATCAATTTCACAAGATCGTAGATCTAGGGCCAAAACCTAAGTAAAACATCTCCTATTTCTCCACCAAATCAACATAACATCCAAGTTGAGTTTCTTGAGTTGTTTTCCTTTGGTTGATGCCTGTATCTACTCAAAATCTATATATTTGAAAACAAGATTAAAACTTTTGAAGGTAAAAATCCTCATAAAACCTTATTTCTTGAAAATCACACAACAAAACACTAGATCTAGAGATGGATCGTTTTACCTTGAGTTGTAGACTTGCTCTCTAGCGAAAACTTGCCTTGACTCCTATGGATCTACCCCTTTAGGAAAGAAAAGAACCGAACTTTAGGTTCTAACTCAAACACAAGAAATTTATGAAGAAGACTTGATGAAATCACACTAATCTTACCTATCTACCTCCAAGATTGTTCTTCAAGATCCTTGATCCTAATGAGTGAGCTTGTTCTTGAGTTTTGATGGAAGAAAATCAAAGAGAGAGAGTGAGAGAGAGGGGACGGTTTTGAGAGGAGAAATGGAGATGAAATTTGAGTCTTATGGTTTTGAAAAGAGAGAAGATAATGAGTAATTTCATTACCCACCCATCCTATTTAAAGACAAGCTTATGGAGGGACTAATTTGCAAATAAAAATTTGCATAAAACCCGGCCATAACAAGGGGGAGAGAGAGAGAGATTGGCACATTTTTTAAGTGCAATTATGACACTTTTTGGCTCTTATTCAAAGGACTTATTACCTTTTTTCTTATTTAACCCTCGGTTATTCCACCTTCTCCCTCATTTTTCCATTTTTAGAAAAAATTTTAAGGTACGTTCTTTTAGAGTTATAGTTGAGTGTAATTTTTAAATTAAATTTGAGTTATAATTTAAATTAAAATTATAATTTAAATAAAAATTTTTTTAAAATTTTGTTATAAAAGAACAAGTCATTACTTTTTCATGGATGTAACTAGGCATAGGAGAGACAATCTTTTTGTCTTATATGGGTGTGTGGTAGATTTAATCCTAACCATTTATCTGAATCTCCATTTGATCTCCACCGTTTGATTGGAATCATTTTCTATGACTCCTACTGATTTGAAGAGATCAATTCAGTACAATTTCACTGTGTTTACTAATCTTAGTACACTTTTGTATTGACAGTATCTATGTCCTACTGATTAAATGGCATGTGTTGGCATGACTTCTCCTACATCAACAAATTAACGGGGAATTCGTTACCGAAATCCGAATTACACGGGTGAAAAATTCAAAAAAAAAAAAAAATTTTGAGTTATAATTTTATTTAAATTTATATTTTTTTTATTAATGAATAAATTATAATTAACAAAATATATGATTGATATATTAATTATTAACTATTTATTTAATAACCCATTATTACTTGTTTTATTGTATATGTTATATAATTAATTTTTGGTAATTAATCTTTAACTAAATTATTAATTACTATATTATTTATTATTTTATTAATAAAATTTTAAACTTAATAGTAATAAATTAATATTTAATTAATAATTAAGTAATTATTATCTATTTATTAGTTATTAAGTAAATCTATATATTAATTATTAATTAATGTATAATATAATTAGCAATTAATAATTAATTATGTCATATAATATTGTTGATAAGTACTAGAAAATGAAAATGGAAAAGGGAAAACAATTTTCAATCGTTTTCTACTTTCTTCACATAAATCATTCTCATTGTTTTTTTTTCGTTTTCATTTTCGAAACTTTTATTAAACAAACGTGATATGTAGACCATTTTCATTTTTGTGCCTCAAAAGATGTGTAGAAACGTTTTTGAAAACAACTAAAAAATAATTTCAAATACACCCTTTGTTTCTCAATAGTCTATAATATAGAAGGGTAAAATTGGAAAACTTAAAACTTAAAACTAAGTATGGCTAATTATTTTCTAATCTTTGATAAATGGGTTATTTTTTCAAAACTTTGCCTATTTCCTACAATTTCTCTTATTTTTTCTGCATTAATTAAATTATCGTTGTTTATTTTTTTTAATAGAGTGATATAAATAATATTTTTTATCATAAGTGGTACGTCTAATTTGTCCAATCTTTTGTTATCTCCATGATCTTTATGTTAAGAACATATTCTTCATATTTTACAACTTTCAAATTAACACTCCTTGAAAATTATCTAATAATTATACATGAATGAACCTTCCATTCTCATAGTATATCTCTTATCACTTTTTTTGTAAATTTTTCTTCATTCCATTTTTGTAATTTATTTGTTATTGTCCATTTGACTAGTATTTGATAAGAGTAACTCTAGTTCATCTCAAACTCTAATAACCACAAACACACCAAAAGATCTAACAAATTAAACTAACATTATTGAACTGTAGAATCTCACTGTTGTAATGAAATATGGAGGGGTCGCACTTAGATGTGAAGTCAATACAGTTATTATAAAAATGACATTTGTGGTTGTAGTTGTTTAAGCCCCCAATTCTAGAGAATTATGGGTACATGCGAGAACTTTAAGGAATTTTGTTTTCTTTTTAAAAGAGAGAACTCGTTTGATAAGGAGGCCGTTCATTGTCCCCCGTTGCCGGTCTCCTCTTTTTTTTGTCTCTTTTTTTTAAGATTTTTTTTCCTTTTTTCTTTTTAATTTTTTCTTTTAGTTTTTTTTCAATTTCTTCTTTTTACCTCCCTTATCTTTTTCTATTACATCTTTTAATTTTTATATATTTTCAAATATATCCCTGTAAATATTTTTTTATGGTTATTTAAAATAATATTTTGTTCTTTTTTTTTCATCCTTTCTTTTTTCGGCAATTTGTATAATTGTTGTTTTAAATGTCGCGTTTTTTACTAGTTTAGGTAAAAGGTATAACTAGTCGCATATACTTACGAAATTAAAAAAAAAAAAAGAAAACGTAAAACAATTAAAAATTAATTGAATATTCTTTTACTTTTAGACTCTTAAGAAAAAACTCTTTAGAAAAAAAATATGATCAACATTCAACGTTGGAGTTCATAGAGGATTTCCATAGAGGAATTTTTAACTGTAAGTATTAGAAAGTTAATATCGCATATGTTCACTAGTTCAATGATTATCAGGGGATATTCTTTTCTCTTTATTTTTTTTTCAACCAGATAATTAATCGAACAAGATTTAAAAATATTTATGTTACAACTTGGAAGATAATTAGAAAAAAAAAACTTTAGCAAACTTCGGATATTATATATAATATTTTTCTCAAGATAAATCTATTAATTATACATTTAAATTTAAAAATAATAATAAACGTAGTGATAGAAATGTTACCGAAATAGGTTGAGGACTAATTAAAAGGATTGATCACTTTCAACATTTTAAGATTTTTATGTGGGTTCAGTTATGCGTTTCCTAAAAATAAGGAGCCTTACATAGTTGCCTCAAGTAATGGCCTTGATTACCATTACCACTAACAATTCTATATCAGATTATGAATATCATAAATACTAACGAAGGCAAATCTGGGACTTACGACGAGCGCATGAAAAACACATGCAAATATGGGACAAAGGTGATAATTGATTTAGGAGTGGTTTCTTGTTTGTTGTATTTTATAGTAGAGGCAGTCAAGAAAATGAAGCATGTCAATGACTAGGGCGGCGCAGATCATCATCATGGCGAGAGGCATCCGACTTCCAGGAACTGGGATGCCTTCATCACCCTCTTGCTTCTCTTCATTCTCTTCTCCCTCTTCGCTTTCGACCTCGTCACGAGTTGTCACTCATTCGTGACTAACATTGTCAGTTGTCAAAAGATTGATCCTCTTGGGAATAGTACTAGAGCAATTATTCATCAGCCATGATTATGATTATTACTTCGTCACAATATTTAAAGGGCATTTGGTATGCAATAAATCTTTAATAATTATGTTGTGTGGGTTTTAGACTATCTCGAAATGAGATAAGTGAATCTAGACTTGTCTAGAAATGAAAAGTTGTAATTTTTGTACCGAACATGAAAATTTGAGAGATTCCTATTTCCTTAGAATTACTGCCTTCTAATACTTTACTTTCTCTATCTTTTCGGTTGTAAATAGATCATGTTGTTTCCGATTATTGATTATTTATGAAATTATATAGTTTTATTCTTGTTTAAGCAATAGTTTGATTTTTTTTTTGTAATCATGTATAACTTGTAAAGTGATTCTTCTTAGGCATTATCACTAGATTTTCATTTTAACTAAAATTACATTAACAAATTCTTTAAAAAAAAAAGAGTAAAACCTCCATAAAATATTATTATCGGGACTAAGAAAAGGTATTATTTTAATGGGGTTATTAATTTATCGATAAATGAATATTTATTAATTTAAGGAGAGTTTTATATTTTAATAACTTATGTCGTCTTGGTACATGTATTATTTTTAGACTATGATTCATGTATGAGTTAAATATTAAAAAAAATAGTTGATGTAGTTAAACTCAAAATTAATATGTTTACATATATGATTATAAAATTTTTTATGTATGTAATAAATGTTATACACATGTAAATAGAATCTCAAAAATTAATTTAAGATATTATAGATAAAATGTTAATAATAACATACATAGATATATGTATTTTTTTGAAAAAAATTTAATGCCTATAAGAAAGAAAAAAAAAACTCCTTAATATTATGAGTTTTGTATGTCATTTGTTATTATTTTTTTGTATTTGATTAATTACTAATTTTTATTTTCATTGGGTCCTAAAGGATTCCAAAAAAGTACTATCTTATGCATTTAGCGAGATTATTAATTTAGTACATTAGAAAAAGTCGGGATAAGAAGATTTTGTTATTTAATCAAGGTTATTAATTTATCAAAGGGAGATTGAGAGAAATAGGTCAAGATTTGAGAGGAATTTAAATTAAGAAAAATTGTAGAAATATGCCTATATTTAAAACTTATGAAAGTAAATGGCTAATTTACCAATGTATAGATCATTTCATGTTTTCAATTTTACCTTTTTCTTGTATTTTTTTTCAATTTTATTGGAAGTAAGAAATTGAAAACATGAAATGGTCTATTAATTTTTATACATTGGTAAGTTGGCTATTTATTTTCATAAGTTTTAAATGCATGCCTATTTCTTAAAATTTCCCTTTATCGAATATTCATTTATCGATGTTTTACTGTATGTTACCAATTATAGTAGTTAAAAATAAAAATAATAATAAAAAAAGAGCAAGCATATGGATAAAATAGGGTCCGAAAAATTTAGAATGCATATTCTTCTAAAAAACTACACGCATACATACATATAATATTATCAATGATTGGACATTTCAGAATCAATGTTTCTAAATGAAAAAAAAAAAGTTCGAGATTCTAGTGTCAAAATTCTTGAATCCTTTTCATTCTTAGGTATACGTGGTCATTCTAATTCATCTTTGGATATCCCATACTAATGATGGGGTATTTTGATCTCCATCTTAAAAGTATTGAATGATTGTTATCTTGTCTTTCTATTATCTTGTCACTTCAAAAAGCTTACAATTTAAATATAGTTAAAGAAGAGCCTGCTTACAATTTAAATATATTGAAGAGGAGCAGAAAAAGGCTCCAGCTTTTAAGTAATTATTTGGAAAAAAATTTTAAAAAGAACTTTCTAGAACATTTACATGAGATTTTTTGTTCATTAATAAAAATAAAAATAAAA